GCAATCTATCTCACTGAGTAGCAGGAGCCTAAGTGCATGGGCCATCTACTGCTCCCTGTTGCATTAACAAGGAGCTGGATCAGAAGTGTGGAGCCACTGAACTGGATCCTGTCACACAGTGGGATATAGGCATTCGAAACAGGCGATGCTCTGCATGCCAATACCAGCCCCATTTTTTATTTTGTTAGAGGTGTCATGGGGGTTCAAGCCAGCTGCATATGGAGATATAAATAGTTGGTAGGTCTTGTTCCCAGTTGAGACTGAAAATTCTTAGGGGCAGGAGCAGCTGTGTACCAAGCTGTCCAGTCAGTGTGAAGCTGCAGGACTGCTGATTGCGTGGCCTTTTCTGTGGCCATGATCTGCCCCTCATGTCTGGGATAGCGCTGCTCATAGATGAGGTTATTCAGAGAATTTGGGATGATGCTCTGAATTCCTATCAGTTCTGTTCCTACTAATGAGGTCTCTGTTTATTTTTCTCAGGTGAATGGGAAGAAGGTCCCCAGAGATGCCGGGCACCCTCTGTACCCCTTTAATGACCCATACTGAGCTCACGCTTCCGGCTCCCCATCAGCTCTGCAGTTGTGGGACCCTGCCACCCCCCAGAAAGTGGAGCCAATAAAGCTGTGGTACACCCATGCTGCTACTTGTCTGATGTTCCTGGTCAAGCCTGGGACCCAAAAGAGTTACAGGGACAGGGTAGAGGACCATTGTCAAAGGCAGCAGCATGGGGACTGGTGCCATGGCCTAGCAGCTAAAGTCCTCACCTTGCACCCTCTGGGATCCCATATGCATGCAGGTTCATATCTCGGCAGCCCCACCTCTCATCCAGCTCCTAGTTTGTGACCTGAAAAAAGCCGAGGACAGCCCAAAGCCTTGAGATCCTGTACCTGCGTGGGAGAACCAGAAGAAGCTCCTGGCTCCTGACTTGGGTCTGGCTCAGCTCTGGTTGTTGTGGCCATTTGGGGGAGTGAGTCATGCACGATCTTCCTCTCCTCTCTGTATATCTGCCTTTCCAATAAAAACTAAACAGATCTGGGCTAGGCGTGATAGCGTAGTGGTTAAAGTCCTCGCATTACACATGCCAGGATCCTATATGGGCACCAGTTCTAATCCCGGCCGCCCTGCTTCCCATCCAGCTCCCTACTTGTGGCCTGGGAAAGCAGTTAAGGATGGCCCAAGCCTTGGGACCCTGCACCCACGTGGGAGACCCATAAAAGCTCCTGGCTTCTGGGTTCAGATTGGCGTAGCCCCAGCTGTTGCAGCCACTTGGGAGTGAACCATGGGATGGAAGATCTTCTCTGTGTTTCCTCCTCTCTGTATATCTGCCTTGCTAATAAAAATAAATAAATCATTAAAAAAAAGCTAAACAAATCTTAAAAAAAAAAGACCTCTTTCTTCCTCTTCCTATCTCTGTGTAACACTGCCTTTCAAATAAGTAGGTGTTTTTAAAAATGATTTAGTTATTTTTATTGGAAAAGCAGATTTATGGAGAGAAGGTGAGAAAGAGAAAAAGATCTTCTATCTGCTGATTCACTCCCCAAGTGACCACAATGGCTGTTGCTGAGCCAAACCAAAGCCAGGAGCCAGGAACTTCTTGTGTATCTCCCACATGGATGCAAGGTCCCAAGGCTTTGGGCCATCCTCAACTGCTTTGCCAGGTCACAAGCAGGGAGCTGAATGGGAAGTGGAGCAGTCCATAGGGGATCCCAGCAAACACAAGGTGAGGATTAGGCAAGAGGCCATCACACCGGGCCCAAATAAATCAATCTGGAAGCAGCATGAGTTCCAGCATGTTCTCGCCCTTTGAAGCAGTGTGAAGTGGTGCTCTCTGTTTTGCTGCATTCACTATCCCATTAGCTTGAGATCTACAATGAGGATGAAACAGAGGGTCTTCTGCTAAGCTAGGATAAAAATTGAGTATATGCGTTTAAATTGAACCCTCTTTTATGAAGTCACTGACATTGTGGAGTTGTTTGTTACTGCAGCACATTAGTCTAAATTAATTAATTAGTAGTTGTATAATGCCCTATGAAACTGTAATTTATTTCCAATATCTTGATATATTTTTAAAGATTTATTTTATTTTTTATTGTAAAGGCAGATATACAGAGAGAAGGAGATACCAGCAGACAGATCTTTCTGTTTGTCTTCTCTCTGTAAATCTGACTTTCTGATAAAAATAAATCTTTTAAAAAAAAGATTTTTTTTATTAGAAAGGTGGACATACAGAAAGAAAGAGAGACAGAGAGGAAGCTCTTCTGTTCAATGATTCACTCCCCAAGCGGCCGCAACGGTTGGAGCTGAGCCAATCTGAAGCCAGGAGCCAGGAGCTCTTCCAGGTCTCCCACACGGGGGCAGGGTCCCAAGGCTTTGGGCCGTCCTCGACTGCTCTCCCAGGCCACAAGCAGGGAGCTGGATGGGTAGCGAGGCTACTGTGATTAGAACTGGCACCCATATGGGATCCCAGCACAAGGAGGTGCAAGGCGAGGACTTTAACCACTACGCTATTGCACCGGGCCTCACTCATCAAATTTCTAAAGCAACTAGGGTTGCGCCAGACTGAACCTAGGAGTCATGAACTACATTCAGGTATGCTATTTGGGTGTCAGGAGTCAAAAACTGCCACCTAGGAAGTAGGAAATCAGATGAGAAGTCAGAGTAGCAAGGACACATATGGGATACAGGTGTTCCAGATGGCTGCTTAACCCTCCGCTCTCCAGGGAGCACAGGCTTCACACACAACAACCTACTTAAGTGAGTCCAATGTTGACAGTGAACGGAGAGTGCCTGATGTCTTTCTCGGAATCCAGCACTTTCCTACAGGCAACTTGAAACATCAGCATCCCTTATGTAGGTCAAATCTTAACTCTCCATTTCTGATCCAGTTCCCTGCTAATGGGTCTGGGAAAGCACTGGCAGATGGCCTAAGTGCTTGGGCCCCTGCATCCATATTGGAAATGAGGATGAAACTCCAGGCCCCTCTCCTTGGTGTAGCCTAGACCCTTGGCTGTTGCAGCCATATGAGTAACCAGCAGATGAAGACCTCGCTCTCTGTAACTCTCTATTTTAAGCAAATTAATCTTTTTTTTAAAAAAGGAGAAAAACAATTCAATAGTTTCTTCTTTACAAGACCTGTATTTCCAGTCCCATTTTGTGTAGAATATTCTGGCTCTTTGAATCAGAAGTCCTTATAGGTGACATAAAACTCTCATTTCCTCTTAGGTTCCCAGCTGGGCCCCAAAATGAAACTGACATAAGGTATAGTAACAAAGAAAACCTACATATTTACTTGATATAAGATTTATGCGGCATGGGCCCCCCTAAAAGAAAATGATAGGGGCCCGGCGCGGTGGCACAGTGGTTAAGGTCCTCGCCTTGAACGCCCGGGATCCCATATGGGTGCCGGTTCTAATCCCAGCAGCCCCGCTTCCCATCCAGCTCCCTGCTTGTGGCCCGAGAAAGCAGTCGAGGACGGCCCAAAGCTTTGGGACCCTGCACCCACGAGGGAGACACGGAAGAGGCTCCTGGCTTCAGATCGGCATCGGCCATTGTGCTCACTTGGGGAGTGAAACATCGGACAGAAGATCTTCCTCTCTGTCTCTCCTCTCTGTATATCTGCCTTTCCAATAAAAATAAAATAAATCTTAAAAAAAAAGAAAGAAAATGATAGCCCAAAGAATTTAGAGTCAGTCACTTTATATAAAAAATTGGAAAAAATAGTAAGTTGTGAATGTATAAGAGAAAAGCTTGGACTAAGGTAGTTAATTGAGTAGAGAAGTAACTAGGAAAATAACAATTATTTTAAAATAAGTATTATACATAGAGGGAGAGATGGAGAGACACAACTTCCATCTGCTGCTTCACTCTTCAAATGGCCACAATGGCCTGGACTGGGCTAAAGCCAGGATCCAGCAACTGCATTAGGGTCTTCCATGTGATAGTAGGAACACAAGTACTTCACTGTCTTCTACTGCCTTCCCAGGTGGATTAACCGGAAGCTGGATTAGAAGCAGAGCTGCTGGGACTTGAACTGGCATTTCAGTCCAGGATGCCAGTCTTACATGCAGTAACCACTACCCCAAGGGTTAGTTCAATAGAGTTTTTTTTTTAAGATTTATTTATTTTTATTGGGAAGGCAGATTTACTGACAGAAGGAAATACACAGAGAAATACAGAAAGAAAGACCTTTCTTCTGCTGGTTCACTCCCCAAGTGGCTGCACCAACTGGAGTTGAGCCAATCCGAAGCCAAGAGCCAGGAGCCTAATCCTGGTCTCCCAGTTGGGCACATGGTCCCAAGGCTTTGGCATCCTCCTCTGCTTTTCTAGTCCACAAGCAGGGAACTGGATGGAAAGTCAACAGCCAGGGCACGACCGGCACTGATATAGGATCCTGGTGTGTGCAAGGTAAGGATTTAGCTATTGAGTATTGAGCTATTGGGGCCAGGCCCAATAGGGTCATATTTGTATAGATTTTCCTCAGCTTAAATTTCTGGTCCTCGATGATAAATCTTTAAGAAAAAAAGTTTCCTATTTAGGGCTGTTGTGAGGACGGGATAAAATCAAATTTATGAACTTACTGCCACCAAGTCCTGGAACCACAAGCAGGATCCCCTCTTGCCAGAGTGCAAGGATTCTCAAAGGCAAGAACTTGTTAGGGCATACCCCGCGGTCTTCGGCTTTCTTTGTATTCTGACTACTCTTTCGCTTCAGCTTGCAACTTCCTTCAACTCTGAAAATTGCCGACTCGACTCTATGAAATACTAATGCAATTGGCAAAACACACCCTGGCATCTAAGTGGCTCCATCCCCCCGGAAGTACAGGGAAATCAACGGTCTAGAGCGCCGGCACAGTGCATTGTGGGCCAGCAAGACCACCCGTGTGGCCGGTGGCGCTAGCTTTATTTTGACCGGGAAATAATGTCAACCACCGCCACCCAACCAAGTCAGTCAACCCGCGCTCAGAGAATGGGATGGAGCAGCCTCCAGGCAACGCCGGCCAACCTCCCGGCTCCTTCCCGGAGAGTCCACCCTGCGCGGGATCCCGGATGCCCGGCTCTCGGACCTCCCTCCGGGCGGAGCTTCCTCCTCACCGCCACACTTAAGCTGAGGCGGCTCGGCCCCGTGGTGAGGCGTGGGCTTGAGTCCCGGTGACGCTAGTGTGTTCTGGCTGTGTTTTGCTCAGGTGAGTAAAGCTGAATCTCCTTGACTACCGGCCCGTACTCCTGCGGGAGAGCTGAGGGTGCAGCGGGAGAGCACAAGGGCTTCCGAAGTGCTTCTTCCCCATCTTCTCTCTGAGATCTCGGATAACTTCTCAGCCTCCTCGGCGGTCAGAGGACTCCCTGCCTGGGAGCCCTGAGAATCCACTCTCGGGGAAGCCCTGCAAACGCCTGGCTGGCCTTGGTCGCTCTCTGAGTTTTGTTTGCATCCCTGGCTTGCTCAGCTCCGCGGTTTTCCCAGGCGCTCTGGCTTTCCTCTGGAGGTGCAGGGGGTGCGCCTCAGAAGGAGCAGGAAGTGGGGAGAAGTTGCCTGCTGAGGCGCCTACATTGGGTCTAGGAAAGCTGAGTTTGTAATTCTGCTGCCAGCCTTCCCGAGGTTGGGCTGTGAGATGATGCTTCCCTTTGCACTGCCCATCCTAGTGGCCACCGGACCCCCTAGAATGGCCTTGAAGGTTCTGACCAGGCCTGTTCTTGGGGCAATCTCGGTAGGATCCAGTTGTCAGCCGGAACTTTTTTTTGCTGATCCTAATGAAGTGCTTTGTTGTTCTCCAGGCTGATTCTTTACTGATTTCCGAAGAAATAAAGGAAGTAGGTGCTGGAAACAGTGACTTCCTCAGATACTCCTTCAGCTGGGTTAGCTTCAGCTCTTCATTAACAGCCGTTGTGTCCTCTGTGCGTGTTGCTCTTTATTCATGTATGTGTGTATATGCAACGCTACAGATACATAGAGTGTTAACGTTCTGACATTACGACTGGTTTGGACCTCAAAGAGTGTCACGTTTGGGGGGAAAATATCTAGTGTGCCCAAGAAATAGGTGCACACACAGGCAAAAACCTCAGTGAAGTACACCAGCTAAGAGGTGGTTGACAATGCCAGGGTGGGGTTTGGGAAAAGACAGTGTGTAAAGATGTGGAGTCAAGTACATGGTGCTGGTTCTGCAAGTTCTAGAAAATGGGAGTCTGAGATGAGGAGAGATAAGGAAAGCCAGAGTCAGGCTTGGGAAGGTGTACTTTATGCTGAGGGTGGGAGAGGCTTGTCAAGGAGTTTGAGCCCCAAGGTCATTGATTACATCTGTTGAATGGCTTATGGTCAGAGGGGACACACTGAAAACTCACACATCCGTGGTTTGAGTAATGATGGTGGTGAAAGCCAGGATAGGGACAGTGGAGGGAAATACAAATGGACTTCAGAAGATTCCGGAAATTTCTGGTTTTTTATTTCCCATTTTTAAAAAGAATAGGAGCAGTTGTTGTAGTCTGAGTCCTTATCTTTTAAGTCAAACAGCAGTTTTCTACACTTGTATTTTTTAAAAGATTTTAATTTTTTATTTGAAAGGCAGAGTTATATAGAGAAGGAGAGTCAGAGATCTCCTATCTGTTGGGTTCACTTCCCAAATGGCTGCAACCAACAGAGCTGAGTCAATCCAAAGCCAGGAGCTATTTCTGGATCTCCCATGTGGGTGCAGGAGCACAAGAACTTGAGCCATCCTCTTCTACTCTCTCAGCCCATAAGCAGAGAGCAGGATCAGAAGTGGAGTAGCTGGGACACAAACCAGCGCCCATATGGGATGCCACTGCCATAAGTGGAGGATAAGCTTACTATGCCTCCACACTGGCCACTATAATTATATAAGTATGAACAAGATTTTTTAACCTAGGCAAACAGCCCAAATGAATGCCAACATTGCCTAATTAAGCTGGGTTTCCAGGCACCTAACAAATACAGAAGGAGACCCACTTCCCTTCTCCATTGCCTGCCAGATAACCAGAGGACACTCAGAAATGCCTCTGAGAACTGCAAATACTTTCCTTGGAAAGCTTGCTGGTAAGGCATTATACTGTGGACATGGTGTTTGGTTTGCTTTAATCCTTGTTATGCAAAGGTGAAGGTCCTTGGTGAGACAGTGAGTCAGGCACCATGCAGTGTCTCTGTATGGAGTACCGCTTGCCCACAGTGGATCTGGGATTGAAACCCAAGTCTGTGTGAACCCAGAGCCTAAAATGTTTACTCTGCACTCTGCTTGCTGCTGACTTAGTTTTAGTTTTTCGTAGACGAATTGAGAGGGAAATAACTCCAAGCCACTTGTTAATGCCCATTTACATGGTCATAATGCCCAGGGCTGAGCTGTACAAAAGCTGACACTCAGAACTCAGAAGCACGAACTCAGTTTGGGTCTGCCAGTTTATTGTAGGGACTCAAACACTTGTACCTTCCAGGATTTCCCTACTCCCCCCCTTTTTCTTTTCTTTTCTTTTTTTCTTTTTTTTTTTTTTTTTGTTTATTACAAAAGCAGAAATACAGAGAGAGGGAGTCACACAAAGATCTGCAATCTGCTGGTTCACCCTCCAAATGTCTTCAATGATCAGGGCTTGCCAGGCCATAGCCAGGAGTCTGGAGTTCTATCTGCATCTCCCATGTGGATGAGTGTCCAAAGATTTGGGCCATCTTTTTTTTTTTTTTTTTTTTTTTTTTTTTTTAAAGATTTTATTTTTATTATTTTTTATTGGAAAGGCGGATATACAGAGAGGAGAGACAGAGAGGAAGATCTTCCATCCGATGATTCACTCCCCAAGTGAGCCGCAACGGGCCGATACTATGCCGATCCGAAGCCAGGAGCCTCTTCTGGGTCTCCCACGCGGGTGCAGGGTCCCAAAGCTTTGGGCCGTCCTCTACTGCTCTCCCAGGCCACAGGCAGGGAGCTGGAAGGGAAGCGGGGCTGCCGGGATTAGAACCGGCGCCCATATGGGATCCCGGGCGTGCAAGGCGAGGACTTAACCACTTGCGCCACCGCACCGGGCCCTGGGCCATCTTCTAATATTTTCCCAGGCGTATTTGGGAGCTGGATCCAAAGTGGAGCCACTGAACTCGAACCCAAGCTCAGGTGGGATGCCAGTGTTGCAGGCAGCAATTTGGCATTATGTGTCATATACCTGAACCCTGTGCAGTGTTTTGATTGGCAGGCAGCTGGAATCAGAAACCAGGGCTCTGGGACTCAAACCCAGGACCTTTGATGTGAGATATTGTTATTTTAACACGTTAATCTCATGCCCCTAATGTTGCTGTATTTATGTGTAAATTTGGACTTGTTGAGTCTCTGAATCTATATTTTTAATGATTTATTTATTTTTGTTGGAAAGGCAGATCAGATTTATTGAGAGAAAAAGAGACAAGAGGAAAGATCATCTATCCACTGGTCCACTTCACAAGTGGCTGCAAAGGCCAGAGCTCAGCTGATCTAAAGCCAAGAGCAAGTAGCTTCCTCTGGGTCTCCCACACAAATGTAGGATCCCAAGCTTTGGGCCATCCTCCACTGCTTTCCCAGGCATAAGCAGGGAGCTGTTTGGGAAGTGGAGCATCTGGGACATGAACCAGTGCCTATATGGGATCCCACCATTTGAAGGGGAAGGTAGGCCAAGCCAGGCCCCAATCTCAGGATCTTACGGAATTTAAGTTGAATGTACAGAACTACATTGGAATAATTGGGGTTTCAAGTAGTAACTGCAAAAATGAATTCAAGGATGAAGTGAGTAGAGACTAAGACCAATCCCCCAGGGCCAGGCAACATCTGTGGCAATCAGGGGAACAGACCCATCAGCCAGGAAGCCCTCAGAGACACTGTGCCCCTGGTCTGGGTCTGTGGATTGCCCACTTCCAGGCAGCACTTGTGGAGGCTCCCCTGGACAGGGAAGGCATAACCCCAGAGAGAAGGAGCCTGGCTCTGAGCTGGGAGACCTGATCCTCAGTGCTTCTGCACCCCCACTGCTGGGTTAGTGGGTGCTGCCTGAGGTCCAGCAGAACTGGAGTCTGTTCATTCAAGTTGCTGCCTGCAGTGCCATTGCCTCAGACAGAGCAGGAAGTCCTGAGCTGGCTGAGGATGACTTTATCCCAGGGAGAGAGCTCTGTGTGCTGCTGCTGCTGTGCTTCCATTCCTGCTTAGAGCTCTTGTTCTTTGAAGGTGTTTGTTGGGGCTTCCTATCTCTTTGCCCAACAAACCCCATCATTTTTGTGGTTTTCACTTTTACCTGCAAAAGGAAGAATCCATGTTCAGGTTTCTTCCCTGGGCTGGCTTTTGTTTGAACTCTTTCCCTGGGTGTAATTTCAGAGCCCTCTGTGGCATGCAGGGAAATCAGGGAGAGGCAGACATGGTATTGTGTGGCCATCAAGCCCTGGAAAGCAGCCAGAGACCCTGCTGGCCACAGGCCACCAGTTTGCACCTGTGAAGTCCAGAGATGGTTGTCTGACCTCTGGGAACTTGGTTTCAGAGTATTGCCCTCAGCTCTCTGTGATTAACTGGGCAGATTTAAACAAGTTTTTGTTGTTGTTTTTGTAGTTTGTTTTTGTTTTTAGCAGAAAGTGATTGATTTCTGTAAGTAGGTTATATTGCTCTATAAAACTCTCCCTTTTTACAATAGGAAAGATAAGTTTAATGTGCTCATTATATTCATAGCTTAATCTGGTTACTTTATCTCTTGCCCTTTTAGAACTTGGAAACAAAGGTTACATATTTAAAGATACTGTTAGCAATGAAGTTAGTCTTTTTTTTTTAATGATTTATTTTATTTTCATTACAAAGTCAGATATACAGAGAGAAGGAGAGAAAGAGAGGAACATCTTCTGTGCAATGATTCACTCCCCAAGTGAGCTCAATGGCCTGTGCTGCGCCTGTCCGAAGCCAGGAGCCAGGAGCTTCTTCCAGGTCTCCCACACATGGGCTGTCCTCTACTGCTTTCCCAGGCCACAAGCAGGGAGCTGGATAGGAAGTGGGGCTGCCAAGATTAGAACCGGCACCCATATGGGATCCTAGTGCATTCAAAGTGAGGACTTTAGCCACTAGGCCACGGCGCCAGGCCCAGCAATGAAGTTAGTCTTAAGAGAGTTATATATATGGTACTGATAAGATCAAGAGAAGAGGGATTTTTTTTTCTTTTAAGATTGATTGATTTTTTGGTTTCTGCGTTATTGTTCAGTGACTAAATAATTCCTCGTACACACTGGAATCCCATATGGACACCAGTTCACATCTTGGCTGCTCAACTTCCCATTCAACTCCCTCCCTGTGGCCTGGGAAAGCAGTAGGAGATGGCCCAAAACCTTTGGACCCTGAACCTGCATGAGAGACCCAGAGGAGGCTCCTGGTTTCTAATTGGCTCAGCTCTGGCCATTGCAGCCACCTGGGGAGTAAACCAGCAGATGGAAGAAATATTTTGTTTTCTCTCTGCAAATCTGCCTTTCCAATTAAAGTAAACAAATCTTTTCCAAACCAGGAACCAAGAGCCTCTTCTGGGCATAGGGCTCCAAGGCTTTCAGCCAACCTGCACTGCTTTCCCGGCTAGAATCTGGGAATCTGGATTAGAAGTGGAGTAGCTGGACATGAACCAGTACCCATCTTGGATGCTTACACTTGCAGGTGGAGAATTAACTGGTTAAGCCATCACACTGGTGCTGATTTATTTTGTATCTCATGGCACTTGGAGAGAATCTGCTGCTTTCTCTTCCATTTGGATGACTCCTGCTCTTTCCCTCCAGCCTCTGGCATCACCTCCAAGAAGCCGTCCTAGCCAATGGCTCCTTTACTGTAGTCTTCGAGCAACTCTTCTGCAGTTTCTGATTAATGGTTATCACACATTGTGCGAGTGCCTTCTGTTCTCCTTCTTCCGGGAAGTTAGGTACTGTTTAAGTATGTGGCACTTGGGTTTCACACCAGATTGGGCGTATTCAACATTTTCAGTATAATGAATATTCTTGGTTTATTTGCAAATTTCATCATTTTATCATTTTTAAAAGAGATTTATTTATTTTAATTGGAAAGTCAGATTTACACAGAGAAGGAGAGACAGACAGGAAGATCTTACATCCACTAATTCTCTCCCCAAGTGGCCACGATGGCCAGAGCTGAGCCAAACTGAAGCAGGGAGACAAGAGCCTGGAGCTTATGCCAGGTCTCCCACACAGGTGCAAAGTCCACAAGACTATTGCACTAAGCCCTTTGTTTGAGCTCTTTAACAAATTCCTGGAAGGGCAGCCAGCAGAATGCTCTGGTTAGTGTTTGTTCAGGAGCTTCTTACTGCCTTTGGGTGGTTTCAAACACCCTGTCTTCACTGCCTCTCCTATAGGCACGTGTACACAATCATGTGTTTGTTACCCACAGATGTGCTCCATTGTCTACACAATGATTTATACGATTGATCATAAGCTTGTTGTTTATACCATTGTGTTATAAGGTTGTAGGCCAGTGAGTAACTAAGACCAGGCAAGAACATTCACTCCTACGCTATTCTCTTCCCATCTGTTTCAGGGGACAATGACAACTTCCAGTGTCCACCTGCACACTGGGCAGAAGATGCCCCTCATTGGTCTGGGCACCTGGAAGAGTGAGCCTGGCCAGGTGAGGCTGAGGGGAGAGGCGAAGGATTTCTAGACCTGTGCTAGGGACAAGGCAGGACTTGGTGGAGGAATGCTGCCTTTTCCCTCAGCAGACCAGGCCTATAATCTACTGGTGGGGATGCAGCTGGGGAGCACTGGGAGGAGGTCAGAGAAGAAGGGACTCACACTGCATTCTTGGCTTCCTTGGCTGGCACACAGGAGGGGCTGAGGGCCTCAGCAAGGCCAAGGGCACAGGGAGTACCCTTTTCTCTGGATCTGCACCATGCTGTGAGTCCGAAGATGGCAGTTACCAGCCTGTGCTGTGATGTGTCTCCTCTCGTACTGGGGATTCGCTGAGGCCTGGGCTTGTCCCCAGTGTGTCCAGAGTTGGAGCCATAGCAGCTGTCCAGCTTTGCAGAGAAACTAACTAGGTGAGCTGTGTAGACCAAGGCTAGGACACATTTACTTACTTAACTTAACCAGATTTCCTTATCAGTTTACTAAATGGAGATCTATTCATATAACAAATAAGTGGTGGCTTAAAAGTCTTTCTTAGCTCAAGAAGTATTTTTTAAGACGGCTACAACTCCTGGGATAGAACCCTTGCAGGCAAGTAGATCCTGGGAACAAAAACTTGTTTTGCATTTTGTTTGGTTATTTTAATTTAATTGAAACACAGAGATCTTTCAGGCTCTGGTTCAATCCCCAAGTGTCTACAACAGGCAGGGCTGGACCAGAGAAAGGCCTAGGCCTGCCAGTGGGTGGCTAGAGCCGTTTACTGTTGCCTCCCAGGATGTGCATGAGCTGGAGCTGGAATGTGGAGGAGAGCTGGGACTTGAGGCCAATATGCAAGCATCTCCAGCAGCCTTAACCACTGCACTCAATGGGAGCCCTAGGACCTATTTTCTTATGGTTTGCTTTGCTATGACCTTGGGTTCCTACTTGGGGGTGAGGAACGGTTCACATTATGTTCTTGGAAGTCTTACTCAGAGTTAAGAGAAGTAAAGTGTGGGAAAGACTAGGAGGCAAACAGCCTCTGTCTGGACTTTAGACTCATGTTTGTGACATGGTTGAATAATCTCAGCCATTTTTTCCCGCTTTCTTCTTTCCCTCAGATGCTTAACACACTGGAAGTGGGATCCATCCACTGTTACATATGTGTATATGTACATATTGTGTGTGTGTGTGTGTATACATTATTTGAAAAGCGGAGTTGCAAAGAGGGAGAGGAGAAACAGAAAGAGCTCTTTTGTCTGCTAGTTTACTCCCCAGACTAGCTGCAATGGTCAGGGCTAGGTCAAGGTGAGCCAGGAGCTTCATTCAGGTCTCCTTCACTGGTGCAGGGGCCCAGAGACTCTTTGAATGCATTTCCAAGCCATTGTGAGGCAGCTGGATGGAAGTGGAAGAGATGGGACTTGAACCAGTGCTCATATGGCATGTCAGCATTGCAGATAGAAGCTTCAAGCCACTGTGGTACAACTCCAGTGTCAGTCCATCTCCTGATAGATGATAAATGCTGGGAACATGCTATTAGGTTTTTCTGAGCCTCATTCTGGCACTTTAGGAACAGGTGAATTGGGGGCAAAAATGAAGATTTGGTCTCTGAACAAGGCTCCTGTTCCCCTAAGTGGCTAAAGGCTCTGGCATAAGCCTTAACTATACCCCTCAATGTTGGCAGGGGGTGGTGGCAGGGGAGTTTTACAATAGATTGGCACAATGAAAACTTCTTATTCTCTCATCTTCAGGTCAAAGCAGCTGTGAAGTATGCCCTTAGTGTGGGCTACCGCCACATCGACTGTGCTGCTGTCTATGGCAACGAGGCTGAGATTGGGGAAGCCCTGAAGGAGAACGTAGGACCAGGCAAGGTGAGCGGTAAGGCTATTGAGGCTGAGTGAGAGAATCCAGAGCCTTGATGGGCCATGAGCCTGGCTGGTGGAATCCAGCATTCATCTCCTCTGGATTCTCTCCCAAAAGTGCAGATGGTTGAGAGGGGCCCTTGATCCTCTCATCCTATACTTGTCTCCTGCCCTAGGCAGTGGCTCGGGAGGAGCTCTTTGTGACATCCAAGCTATGGAACACCAAGCACCATCCCGAGGATGTGGAGCCTGCCCTCCGGAAGACGCTGGCTGACCTGCAGCTGGAGTATCTGGACCTGTACCTGATGCACTGGCCTTATGCTTTTGAGTGAGCCTTGCCAGGGCCTTCACCCAGGGATCTGGGATTTGGTGGGATGTGTTAGTAATACATTGTGAGTCAGGGCAGCAACACTGCAATGGAATAGCCACCTGTGTGGCAAACTGAGCGTGGGTGGGATCTCTGCTTTTCTGCTGCAGCCAGGCATTCAGCTGCAGACCAAGGAATGCAGTTGCATGGATGTGTACCGGTGGTTCACTAGTGGTCCTTGCTTTCCGTTCAGTCATTCCGTTGAGCCAGGCCTTGGGGTTTTGTAATGAGAGTGTACCAACAAGGGCAATGAGAGGAGCCTGCCCAGGAGGGAGAATGCAAGAGCAGCTAGCTGCTAGGGAGTGAGCAAGGAATGGAAGGTCCATGTAGACCTGACACTGGCATTGTGAGCTGAGAGTGAGGAAGCACAGGTGTTCGGAGTGATGGCACTTTGCTGTCTCTGGGCTTGGGGATGTGGATAGAGTGGGCAGGTAGGGCAGAAGCCTGGCCTTTGAGCTCACACTTAGGAAGCTGTGTCTCACTCAGACGAGGAGACAACCCCTTCCCCAAGAACGCTGATGGGACTGTGCGCTATGATTTCATCGACTACAAGGAGACCTGGAAAGCAATGGAGGCGCTAGTGGCGAAGGGGCTGGTGCGGGCACTGGGCCTGTCCAACTTCAACAGCCGGCAGATCGACGACGTGCTCAGCGTGGCCTCGGTGCGCCCGGCTGTCTTGCAGGTGAGCACAGCAAGCAGAGCAGTGGCGTGCAGGATTGTGTGTGCACAGGCATGAGTGAGCTGGTGATGGTGTCCGTGTGAGGGTGACTAGCATGTGCTCAGAAACGGTGCAGACTGCTCTCTCTGCACAGGGCCATGGAGCTGATGAAATGGCAGTGGAATGTGAGAATAAGAGTGGGCTGTGTTGACATGAGGAAAGTCTCTGGCCTGTGAGCACTGACATGCAGAAGGCCAGCCACGCTGCTGTAGCCACCATGGTTGATGTCTTTTCTCTGGGCTCAGGTGGAATGCCACCCATACCTGGCACAGAATGAGCTCATTGCCCACTGCCATGCACGTGGCCTGGAGGTGACTGCCTATAGCCCTTTGGGCTCTCCAGACCGTGCTTGGCGCGATCCTAATGAACCTGTCCTGCTGGAGGAACCTACCGTGCTGGCACTGGCTGAGAAGTATGGCCGATCTCCAGCTCAGATCTTGCTCAGGTACACGGTGGTGTTCTTTGGAACAGGAGCCGTGGTTGGGAAGAAAGGCTCAGGAATGGGAGGTGAGGGTTGAGGGCTTCCAGATTTGATTGCAAGGATGTTCACACTCCAGTGGCCCAGTGGCTCCAGGAGCTGAGGATAGGCAGTGGTTAGGGAGACTGACTTCCACCTCTACCTGATCCCCCTCATAGGTGGCAGGTGCAGCGGAAAGTCATCTGCATCCCCAAGAGTGTCACTCCTTCCCGCATCCTGCAGAACATCCAGGTACCTGCAGATGGGTCTGTGTGCTTTAGCTGTCTGTGCTGCCGCTGGCCCAGCTCTGTCTAGAGAAGCGGGCAGTGGCATGAGCCCCTGTATCCACTCACAAGGCTGGCTGTCCTGAACCCCGTCCTCTTCCTTAGGTGCTTGACTTCACCTTGAGCCCAGAAGAGATGAAGCAACTGGATGCCCTGAACAGGAATTGGCGATATATTGTGCCCATGCTTACGGTAAGGATGGACTCACTCTCAATATGTTGGAATATGAGACTTTGGGCGAAATCTGGCTTGCTGGTTGTGTGTGGGAAAGGATGATGACCCTGAGTTTGCTATTGTTTGTCTGGATCTCAGAAATTGTGTCTTGGGGACAGGTTTTCACCCTATGAGGCCCTGTCTTTCTCTTCAGTGTTTTGTAATTTAAAATGGTATTATGCTTGTCACTCCAGTTACTGGGCCTAGTTCCTGACACATAGCATGTTAGTAGTAATGATATGTTGGGTCCAGAAGAAAATTCTGAATTTTTTTTTAAAGATTTATTTTTTCTTATTGGAGAGGTGGATATGCATATAGGAGAGACAGAGAGGAAGATCTTCCGTCCGATGATTCACTCCCCAAGTGAGCGCAATGGCCGATGCTATGCTGATCCGAAGCCAGGAGCCTCTGCCAGGTCTCCCACGCGGGTGCAGGATCCCAAAGCTTTTGGGCCGTGCTCAACTGCTTTCCCAGGCCACAAGCAGGGAGCTGGAAGGGAAGCGGGGCCACCGGGATTAGAACTGGCGCCCATATGGGATCCCGGGCGTGCAGGGCGAGGACTTTAACCACTGCGCCACCGCGCCGGGCCCTAATTCTTAATTTTAAAAACATTGATTTATTCTTTTACACTAGAAATGCCAACAGTAAGTAGGTAGGATTAGGCCAGGCCGAACTAGAGCCAAGGACATTGCATATGGGTCTCCCATGTGGGTGATAGGAATGGAGGTGCTTAGGCCATCATCTGCTTCCTCCAGACATGTTAGCAGGCACTGCATCAGAAGCATGGGACAACCAGGACCGACGTCATGCATTCATTGGACAGTGGGTGTCCCATCTGCCAGCTTCACGCTCCTTGACTTTCTTGCCTAATTCCTGACCTTAGAGTGATCAGGGTGGATTTGAAACCACGTGCACATGGGAATAGAAATAGTTGGTAGTTCTTACTCCAGTGGAATGAATTCTTAAGGGCCACAGCAGCCATGTCCCAGGCTGTCCTGTCAGTGTGGTATTGCAGGACTGCTGATTCTGTGGCATTTTCTGTGGCAGCAGTGTGGCCCCTCCGTTTTGGGTAATGCTAGTGAGAGATGAGGTTATCCAGAGAATTTGGGATCGATGCTCTGAGTCTTTTTCAGTTCAGCGCCTATAATGAGGTCCCTGTCTCTTTTTTTCAGGTGGATGGCAAGAGAGTTCCCAGAGATGCCGGACACCCTCTGTACCCCTTTAATGACCCATACTGAGCCCATGGCTGCAGGTCCTCATTCAGTTCTCCAGCTGCAAGTTCCTGCCACCCTGAGAAAGAGGAGTCAATAAAGCTGTGGAGCAAGTGCAGGGCTGCTCACCTCATTTGTGTGGTCAAGCCTGGGATGGATGCTGCTCATTTCAGGAAGGGCTGACCCTGGGCTGTGGGATGCCTGCTCATGCAGTCCAGCTGCCCTAGCTTGCATGGTTGTAGAGGGCCTGCCAGGCAGCTGAATCCCATTTTGCATTCCCTTAGGCACATTAGGGAAGGAGCACCACCTCGTGGCAGCTGTGAACACTGTATATTGCCTTCCAGTTTCCAAGCCTTGCAGAAATTGGGCACCTCAGCAATGAGATCAGGTCAGTGATTGTCTCCTGGTCTCAGGGCAGAGCTAGGCCTGGGCCTTGTATTTCCAACTCCTCCCCTGACCAATGCCTACATGTAGGAATATTGAGGATTCAGAAGTCTGGGGTCCTAATGTATTCGTCATGCAAGTGGGCACCAGGCTTTCCTCTGTGACACTGTGGCTAATGTGCCCAGGATACATGGCAGCCACAGAGTCTGGGCCAATGTTGTTCACTCCACACTTGTCTTCTGTAGAGTCCCCCCAGAGGCCACTGATGAGAAGGTTTAGGCAAATCACCAAACTGGCTACAAGCTCCCACCATCCAAAACTCAGTTTCGGGCCCGGCGTGGTGGCGCAAGTGGTTAAGGTCCTCGCCTTGCACACTCGGGATCCCATATGGGCACCGGTTCTAATCCCGGCAGCCCCCCTTCCCTTCCAGCTCCCTGCTTGTTGCCCGGGAAAGCAGTCGAGGACGGCCCAAAGCTTTGGGACCCTGCACCCGCGTGGGAGACCTGGCAGAGGCTCCTGGCTTTGGATTAGCATAGCATCGGCTGTTGCGCTCACTTGGGGAGTGAATCATCGGACGGAAGATCTTCCTCTCTGACTCTCCTATATGCATATCCGCCTTTCCAATAAGAAAATAATAAAAATAAATCTTTAAGAAAAAAATAAAACTCAGTTTCCCCATTGAGCTATTGCTCTTCATCCAACAGCTATCCCTTGGGTAGCTGTGCATCGGGCACAGATCTGGACCCAGGGGATAGAGCTGTTATGCAGACATAGTTCCCTGCGGTCTGCTTGGAGTGACAGAATGTAATTTTATAATTGGCTTAATTACAGTTGGAAGTGCAGCACGAGGAGCCTACTTAATCAGCTGTGTGCTCTGAAGGATGAGTAGGGCCTCACTGGTTGAAGGAGGGGCTAGTGTTCCATGTCAGTTGGCCAGCTTGTGGGAAAAGCCTTGAAAGTAGAAGAAGCTTTTGGAGAAACCTGGAGATTTGTGTGACAGAAACAGACGGTGATATGTGGGGAAATGATGGAAAATGATGCTGGTAATGGCAAGAGTCTACTAATGGAGAATATAGGTAAATCAGAACTTAACCAAAACAGTAAAGATGTATTGGACCTGGTCCAATGGCTCAGTGGCTGAAACTTCGCCTTGCACATGCCAGGTTTGTGTTACTGTTGTTCTACTTCCCGTCCAGCTCCCTGCCTGTGGCCCGGGAAAGCAATAGAGGATAGCCAAAAGCCTTAGAACCCTACACCCTCTTGGGATTCTTGGTGGACCCACTTTGTTCCTTTCTTCAGATTGACTCGCCTCTGTCCCTTGCAGCCAATTGGTGAGTGAACTAGTAGATTTAAGCTTTTTCTCTCTGTCTCTCCTGCTCTCTATAAATATTCATCATGTACTGCTTCACCAGGTCATGACTGGGGAGCTGGATTTGAGATGATGGAGCCTGGGCACAACTTGACCTTTCTTCACACTGTCAACCTGGATTAGAGCATCATTAGGTGCCGCCCAGGATGCTGCCCAGCTCTCCCTATGTTTTTCAGGCTCAGCATTTACCTCCAAAAAATTACATTGCAGGTAGGAGGGCAATACTCAGTAGAGATTGGAACCACTAGGTCTCAGTTCCTCACACCAAAATTCTTAGCACCAGGTACAGTCTAAGACCTGTATGGTTTTTTGTTTGTTTGTTTGTTTTTATTGCAAAGTCACATATACAGATAGGAGGAGAGACAGAGAAGAAGATCTTCCATCCAATGATTCTCTCCCCAAATGACCACAATGGCCGGTGCTGTGCCAATCTGAAGCCATGAGCCTGGAACTTCTTCCAGGTTTCTGACGCAGGTATAGGGTCCCAAGGCTTTGGGCCATCCTCAACTGCTTTCCCAGGCCTCAAGCAGGGAGCTGGATGGGAAGCAGGGCTGCTGGGATTAGAACCAAGCCGACATGGGATCCCAGCACTTTTAAGGAAAGGACTTTAGCTGGGCACCAAAGTTTTTTGTTTTTTGTTTTTTAATTCTTTTCAGAGATAGTTTTGAATGCCAGAGAAGACAGCTCCTTCCATCAGTTCACCTTCCAAATGTGTGTAAGAGGTGGGCTGGGCCATGTGGAGCCAGTAGCCCAAAGGTCAGTGCAGGTCTAACTTGTAGAGTGAACCAGCCTCTGCTGCCTCCCGGGATCCTGGAGTTGGGAGTGGTGCTGGGACTGTAACACCTGTGCCTCAGCCATTTTAACTACTAGGTCAAATGCCGACTTCCTCGGGAATGAGTTTTTTTTTTTTTTTTTTTTTTAAAGATCTATTTTTATTATTTTTTTATTGGAAAGGTGGATATACAGAGAGGAGAGAGAGAGAGGAAGATCTTCCGTCCGATGATTCACTCCCCAAGTGAGCGCAATGGGCCGATGCTATGCTGGTCCGAAGCCAGGAGCCTCTTCCTGGTCTCCCACGCGGGTGCAGGGTCCCAAAGCTTTGGGCCGTCCTCGACTGCTTTCCCAGGCCACAGGCAGGGAGCTGGAAGGGAAGCGAGGCTGCCGGGATAGAACCGGTGCCCATATGGGATCCCGGGCGTGCAAGGCGAGGACCTTTAACCACTTGCGCCACCGCGCCGGGCCCGGGAATGAGTTTTTTTAAAAAAGAAATTTATTTAACTTGAAAGAGTTATGAGAGGTGGTGTTGGAGTTTGATGAATCCAAGCGAGACTCCAAGGCGAGTGAAATGATTTCATTGTCTAGTCTAAGGGAGCAACCTCCTGCCATAAGGAAGAAGTGACCCAAATGAAATAATTCTGGGGTTTTTATAGTAACAGAATGAAAAAGAGCTACATGACAGTGAGCAAGTACATGATTAGGGGCTAGCAGTGACACAAAACAGAAAGCATATGACTGGAATTTACAACATATAGGCTTGGGGTCCTGGTCATATCACTTCAACGCAGACAGTAATAAAATAGCAAGTTTCGAAGGTAGCTGTTTTCCCGCAAATCCAAAAACTCCAAGATTCTCCCTATCTCCTGCCTGCCTCCTGGTCTTTCAGGAAACAGGAGCTTTGCCTGTAACGGGATTCAGGTGTGTCTTTGGAGATTCCAGACTTCCAGGAGTACAGTCACCTTTACAATTAACCCTTACAAGGTGGGGGATGGACTGGAGACATCCTCCATCCACTTGTTCATTCCCCAAACTGCCGCAATAAGCAAAGCTGAGCTAGATCCAAGTTGGAAGCTGACAACTTCTTCCGGATCTCCCTGGTAGGTTCAGGGTCCCAAGCATTTGGTCCATCTTCCATGGCTTTCCCAGGCCACTAGCAGGGAGCGGGTCATAAACGGAGCAGCTAAAACTAGAAACAAGGCCAATATGGGATGCTGGTACTTCAGGCAAAGGATTGGTGTATTACACCACTGTGCTAAACCTATCAGCAATGAATCAATGATCTGACCAAACAAATGATCTTGGCTTATATCTCTACCCTCAGTTCCTCCGTTTGGACTGTGGAGATAATATTACAACATGTTTCATTCATGTACAATGGGATGAATTATAATAAACCATGGAAAGTTGTATGAAAACACAAGTTACATTTGAATTTAGAGCCCTGGCTACTTGAAGGTGGACAGGCCAAGAGCAGGCCCTCTGAGGGGCTTGGGAGTGAATTGGGAGGTTCTGTGAGCACCGTACCAGGCCTTGTCCCCTGCCCTGAGGCCTAATGTCAGGGCTGCGTTAGGTTACCACGGTCTTCAGTCTGTACTGAGCAGCACTGTCGTCCAGGTAGGGCAGGAATCGGGTAAATCAAGCTACAGATGGTCATGAGCAGTGGATATGTGTCAGGGACCCTGCCTGCAGGCATCCCTTGGTCAGTCTTACCCATATCCAGGTGCTGAAGAGACAGAGAAAAGTGAGGAAAAAGCATTGCTGGGAAAGGTGGACAGGGATCAGCAGGGGAAATTAGATGCCTGGCAGCTAACTTGGGACCTCTCCACTGCAAGGTGCCTTTCAGCTCAGCTTCACTGGTCACAAAGAGTTTTTTAAAGTTATTTTTCATTATTATTTGAAAGGAAGGAATAGATAAGTAGAAAAGGTTCCCATCTGCTGCTTTATTCCCCAAATATGGGAGCTGAAAGCCAGAAACTCAATCCACGTCTCCCACTGGGTGGCAGGGACTTGAGCCATCACCTCTATTTCCCCAGATAAATATTAGCAAGAAGCTGGGTGAATAGTCAAGACTTGAACCAGGTAATATGAGATGTGGGTGTTTCAAGCAGTTTCTTATCTGCTATGCCACACTTAATGTAAAAATTTAAATCACTTTTCATCTGACTTCCCTACCTCTAGGATGTAGCCCAGTCAAAGGGGTGTTTCTCTGAGTGTCAAGCAAGTCTGTCTGTCTGTCTGCCTCTCTCTCTCTCTCAAAATTTATTTATGCAATTATTTATATATTAAAGACAAATTTACAGAGAAGGTAAGACAGAGATTTTCCAGGTACTGGTTCAATCTCCAAATGGCTGCATCAGCCATTGCAGAGCTGATCTGAAGCCAGGAGCCAGGAGCTTCTTCCAAGTCTTCCACATGAGTGAGGGGCCCAAGCACTGAGCCATCCTCTGCTTCTTTCCCAGGCCATAAGCAGGGAGCTGGATGGGAAGTAGAGCAGCCAG